AGCGTTGAGTTTCACATCCCCTCTACTCCAAAAATCAACACAAATCTGTCATCCCAGCCCACAGCTCCTTGATGAGAAATACCCAAGTTTACATGCAGAAGGCCTAAAGACTTGTTCCATAATCATGAAGCAAAGTATAGACCTAACAATGCAGTCATTTTATTCTGGAATAAACATAGCATGTGCTAAAGATTTTTTGTTTTTTATATATATATATATATATATATATATATATATATATATATATATATATATAGTTATAAATAGTTACATGTATACTTTTCGGTTGGTGCCTGCTGATATATTTCCATAAATATCAAGTAACACCCACAGTCATAGGAAACATAGATGTATATGTTTTATTTATGTACGTGGATGTGAGCAGTTTATCCATGTTATCTTACTTCCAATTATTCCTTTATTTAAATAATCAAATCCAGAAGACTTGAGTTCATAATTCCACTTTAAACAATGTTTAATTACTTTTTCTGCTGGCTTGCTAGCTCACATCTTTCCGATCCAGCAGGCATTGAAAGGGAGCTGCAGTCGGTCTTTCACCACTCTGGCACCGCCCAGGTGTGAATGTATGCAACCATATGGATGTGAATCAGTGTGGTGCTGGAAAAAGAGCATGGCTTCTAAGCAAGCGCTTCCATGAATAAATAATGAGGTTGGAACATTTTTAATTTTACAATGGCTCAATGTCCTCAATACCTTGTTTAGGTTCTGTGGTGAGGCTCGCCTTTCTGTTTAGATCTGGGTTATATATCGGGTCTTGGAGAGAAAAGCCTCTCCTTGTAATTACCTATTATAAAACATTACACAGAGGGCCCGTGGCGTTGGTGTGTAAAATAAAAGGCCTGAACAGCCATCCACTGTTTACACAAATAGCAACCGCACTTGGCTCTCCCTGCTTGGGATAGCTTACACACACACTGACACACAAACACAGAAAAACAAATGGATACACAAGGGCTCAAAATACAAAAGAAAGATTTTCGGAAATACCTCAGATGTCCCACTGCGATTACGGTGTTGTAAATGTGTCTTTCTTACCCATTCCTCTCTTTAGATATAAGTAGTTCCTGCTGCACTGGACAGGATACAGACACTTTTATATGCCTCTTAGACACGGCTTTCAATCCAAATCGCCTTGAATGAAAGAATTTAAAATATAGTAAGCAGTGCAGAGGGATTTTGGATTTGGGCTGAGCTGGTACTGTTGAGGCTGTTCTGACTGGCCAGAGTTGTAATTTGCCTGCGGGGATCCGGCTGCATTGTGGTGGATTGTCTGCTCTCCCTTGTCATTTACTTGTCTGTGTGTGGCTTGATGTTAGTGAGGATGTGTGTGTCCACCATCCTCTGTGACGCACAACCAAACTAACCTCTCTGCTGCCTGGACACACTCCAGCCTCACTTTGGATCCTTGAGTGTTTTTTCTCTCATGCTCTAAGCTGGATTTTCCTATTCTGGTTCTGATAAAGAAGGACAGCTCTGTCCTGGGGAGTCCTCTGGACACTGTTGGAGAGGTGAGAGACAGGAGAATGGCAGCCTGTCCTCCCTGCTGGACAATGTGTCCCATCCCCCCCCCCAGGACACCCTGTCTGCACTGTGCAGCTCCTTCAGCGACAGGCTGCTGCACACGTGCTGTCTCACAGAGAAATACCACAGGTCTTTCCTTTTAGTTAGGAAGGACGAACTTCTGCAATAAATCTGTAAATACATGTTTATGCTTCCACCTTTAAGGCTATTATCTGGCTGCTATCTACAACTTTAAACATGCTACACTTACATTGTTAACTATGTTATTTCTACTTTTATCTTTATTATTTTTCTGCATGCTTCTTGATTAGTATTAATCTACTTTTAGCCCTTTTAATCGCTCTAACAATGTAGATTTCCTGTCTATGGGACAAATAAAGGTATTCTGATTCTGATAACATTCAGAACGGTTAAATCCCAATCAATCAATTCCTCAAGGATTCAACCCATTTCCACAATGGCAGCTTTTTATTACCAGGCTCTCCTCTTACAGCTTTAATGCCAGACGTGATTTTCACATAAACAGATGGAACTCTTTGCCAAAGGAAAATATCTGAAGATATAGCCATTTGTGAGTTCGTGGCTTGACGAAGGGGTGCTAAGCTGTCTGCAGGAACACCGCAACATGAACTCATTATTACTGATTTCCACATTTTAGTAGGAAATTACATATTTCATGGATGAAATCGGCTATAACCTGTGTTACGTTTTAAATGTAATGTGACCATATCAACCTGGAATCGGCAGTATGCAGACCAAAGGTGTGTGTGTGTGTGTGTGTGTGTGTGTGTGTGTGTGTGTGTGTGTGTGTGTGTGTGTGTGTGTGTGTGTGTGTGTGTGTGTGTGTGTGTGTGTGTGTGTGTGTGTGTGTGTGTGTGTGTGTGTGTGTGTGTGTGTGTGTGTGTGTGTGTGTGTGGTGTGTGTGTGTGTGTGTGTGTGTGTGTGTGTGTGTGTGTGTGTGTGTGTGTGTGTGTGTGTGTGTGTGTGTGTGTGTGTGTGTGTGTGTGTGTGTGTGTGTGTGTGTGTGTGTGTGTGTGTGTGTGTGTGTGTGTGTGTGTGTGTGTGTGTGTGTGTGTGTGTGTGTGTGTGTGTGTGTGTGTGTGTAAAACCCCATTTAGATCTGTACAGACGGGGGGCAGAGGGAGAGAGCTGACCTTGGCCTTTCAGTCACTTAACACTCCTCAGAGAGAGGGAACTAGTGACCCCAGACTCGCACCAAACTGAACACACTCTTGGCATTACCAAGGTTATGTTTTATGAGTGTGTGCACAAAAGGATGTGTGTTCATGTTTGCGTGTGTGTGCATCCATGTATGTCACCTTGTTTCAGTTGCATCTTTAAAGCTTTGCATCTATAAAACTCTTTAAGTGCTGTTTTTAGTTTGTGGCGTAATTAGTGTAATTTGCACGCTGTTACATCCCTTGTAAACTTACCTGACTCTTGTCAACAAACAAAGTCTTACATGGTGGGATGATAATGCAGAATCAAGCCTATGATGCTCTACTTTACAGCTAAACACAAAGTAAAAAGAAGAGATGTGTTTTCGCAAAATGGGATCATTTAGAAAATGATTGTCTAAATGAAGTGAGGCGAATATGGTTCACTTAATTTTAGGTAGCTAAACAAAGTTGTAAATCATTGTAGTAATATTGAAAGATAATACCCAAAGAGTCCAAGTATATGGTGAATATTTTTGGTAGCATTACTCTGAAGACAGCTAACATCCACTTTATATTTAAATGTATTACGTTTCTCCCAAAATGTCACGGTCTGATCAGTAACAAATGGAGTGCTTCTGTTTGCCATTACTGCAGCAGTAGGCTAGTGTGTTAAACATGAGGATGTACTTTTAATCAGCCAATAGCTACAATATGGTTCTGTTGTGCCTGGTTTTTGTGTGTGTGTGAGTGTGTGCAGTGGCATCATGCACTCCCTTGTATATTGTGGTTATGCCTGGATTTACATTCTCCATATGGCACAATTTAAATCACATGACACAGTGATCTCAGACTGAGCGAATCGCCTGCTAGTCAGCATGTGGTTTCTGTGCGTGTGTGTGTGTGCGTGTGTGTGAAAAGGAACAGGGTATTTATGGAATAAAAGAGGTGAGAGATCAAAGGCAAGATCTAAGATTGACATGTAGAAATGGACGGGAAAAAATGATAAAGTAAAAGTCGTGAAAACATGATCATCAACTCCCACACCATCTCTCTCTTTCTTTCACTCTCTGCATGTGTTTCAGATTAGGGCTCAATGACATCCCTCTGCCATAAACAAGAATAAAGTCAACAAGCCAAATAATCATTCCTAATGCGAGTTACATCTGTGCTGTGAATCGGGTGTGTGTTTGTTGGTTTAAATTCCTGCCTTTGACAAGAATGTGAATTGTCTTTAGCAAAGGGAGATCTCCTTCTTGGTTTAGGACCAGCAATGAGAATCAGCCTTTTCCTTTCACTGAAGTGCAACTAGTGTTTTTCATGCATTATTCAAACATATAGTGCCCTCTTTTGGGATGTCTATGTATTGCAGCACATTTAGAAATCTGTGAGTCTTTCTGCTTCACAAATCCACTTGCTTCACAAACTGTATGTATTTTAACTGTTGTGATATCTCTTAAAGGAGACATGTCATGGCCATTTCCACTGATCATAATTCCATTGTTGAGGTCTACTAGAATAGATTTATATTGTGCATTTTTCCAAACTCACATTGGTTTCTCATACAGCATCTCTGTAAACTACGTGTATTCACTGAATTTCTCTCTCTGCCTTTAACGGCTAGTTGTAGCTCCAATAGCTCCAGCCCCCACCCTCCCTGTGAGCACAGTGTGCTCTGATTGGTCGGAACGTTGTGAATCGCGCTGAGCTCCGTGGAGGTGTTGTTTCCTTGTTTAGGATACACAGCCAAACACAGCCAAACTCATCCTGAGCACACACAAACTCACAGCCGAAGTAAAAACAATAAGTGTGGCTTGATATTGAGTAAGAAAAAGGTTGATAAACGCTGTGAGAATGGGTCTGCAGAGAGAATTTCGCCACAATCCCAACTGTCTGTTATCAGCCTGCAGCCAGGGAGGAGAAATCAGCAGAGCTGCCTGCACTGAGTGTGTGTGTGTGTGAGGAAGTCCGTGGATTGGTCAATTTGGACCAATCAGCAGGGGCTTAACGTAACGGCTCCGCGGACGTAACGTAACGGCTTCACGGATTGGTCCATTTCGTTCCGGGTACGGGATTACATCATCCCGTACCCGGAAGAATCAAATGGACAATGACGTATCTCTAACTGTGTTAGAGTTTTACTCGCTACAGGGTGTACTTTGAGGGTTTTGACTCTGCACACCGTTTACATGCATAAAAACCTTCATAACACACAAGGGGATGGGTAATAACCCGAAAAGCATGACATGTCTCCTTTAACAATATTTACATTGTCTAATTTCTCTTTTCTGAATGTCTCAGGGATGATTTTGATGAAGAGGGATTCTGCCAGCCGTACAGAGGGATAGCCTGTGCCCGCTTTATAGGTAACCGCAGTATCTTCGTCGACTCGTTGCAGATGCAGGGAGAGATCGAGACACAGATCACAGGTGAGAAACAGCCGCCTCGTAAAGTCGGTTTAACTAACTTAACAGCAAATAACATCTATTTTCCTTACATTTTCTTCCTCAACACTTTTTGTCTTAGTGCAACTTCAGACTAAATGTGCTTTTTCTGAAGTTTCACTCAAATAATCACAGTGGTTTCAAACACAACTTGGTCACATTAACATAAGACTCAAACATTCATTATAGATTGTATATTTAAAGACAATCTCTTACATATATGCTGCAAGATTAGCAAAGCATTTTTAAAGGACAAACTAGTTGTTCCTTCTCAGGCATTTTGTGTCTGACAGGAAAAAGTGACAGCCAGCTTTCATTGGGCCAGGTTCACTGGGTCAACCGTCATTTAGCAGTTGTGTCTTGACTAGTAGTCAAATCCTGCTCACAAACAGTATGTTTACCTTGTCAGACACTAAATCAATGAAAACCATCTGCGATTTAAGACTGTTTAGAAGGTAACCTGCATTAATCCTGTATGCTGTAGGAGAAAACAGGACGTCACTTTGGAGTTCAAAGGAAGTTCAGCCAGGTCGGGCTCTGTCTGGAGCCCAAATGTTCCACAAACTAAAAATTCCTGTCTGTATTTTTGTTTTGTGTGTTCGTGTGCACATGTCCTCAGAGGTCAGTTTTATTTGTGCGTTATTAATTACATCCGTACAGCTGCATCTCAGGGACTCTAATCTGAAACATCAAGGGCCAGTGATAATTAAAATGTATGACACCACAGGGTCCTAATAAGAGTAGAGTAACATTGTTAATCAAACCCATAACGTCCAAATTCTGTAGCTATTTACCATCTTAAATATACTATAATATATAATGATCTTCATTTTTTTTCTAGCAGCATGTATTGTAGTGTGGATAACATCCGACTTTAGTTGTATTCTTTTTAATCGCATGTCTTCTCCTTCAACCCCACGGTGCTTCTTTACTGATAATCACAACCACAGGGAAGCAGATGTTTGCAATAACCATACAGTATGATTATGAATCATACATTTACTGCTGCAGCTTTTATTGTCAGTCTTCCTCTTTGATCATTCATGTGTTTAGGTGCTCAAGAGACTCTTTTTTGTGTCTTTTGATTGATGTAGGAAAGAATCAATGAAAGTATTTGTAAAATGAATGATATGTATGTTTTGAATTGTGAGTTATGGACTTATAATCGTGTGTTTAAAAGAAGTATGCGAGTGCTTTAGTTCTATTCTGTAACCAACCCTCCTCCCCTCTTTACAGCGGCCTTCACCATGATCGGGACGTCCAACCATTTGTCTGATCGTTGCTCTGAGTTTGCTATCCCGTCTCTTTGCCACTTTGCCTTCCCGACGTGCGACCGCAGTACTGGAACGGACAAACCTCGGGACCTTTGTAAAGACGAGTGTGAGATCCTGGAGAACGACTTGTGTAAGACAGAGTACATTATGGCCCGCTCTAACCCCATCATCCTGAAGAGACTGAAGCTCCCTAACTGTGAGGACCTGGCGGCCTTCGACAGCCCAGAGGCCGGAAACTGTCTGAGGATCGGCATCCCAATGGCCGAGCCCATAAACAAGAGTAAGACATGTTCAACTTTTAATTATATAAGTAGAGGCTGGACTCTATTGTAACTGCTTATAGGAGATGTTTTAAAAAGTAAGTAAGGACTGCAATTTACAATTATTCCAACACTGATAGATGTTTAATATATTATGTAACTATTTAAAATAGATTTGTATTTTAAAAAATATATATTTAATTTAATAATCTTGAATCTCCACATTTCTAGCATTTTTGCTCATTAAAAAAATTACTCAAACTTTTAATTGTTTATAAAATGTTTGCCAATCAATTTCTGTTGTCTTGACAAATCTATTCAGCAACTAATGGTTTAGACAAAAGATTCCCTAAAAAAAAATTGTTTAAATTGTACAGATGGCAAAAACAATTCTAACATAAAAAAAAAACAATACACTCCAACACACAACTGTGTTCATGTTCAGGAAATGACTAGCGATCAGCTTTTTATTGGTTTCCAGGTTAACATTTTTACATATTACATTTTGTGTTTGTATCTTTGAAAGAAGATATTGATGACCAAAGGAAAGAAATGTAAGGGCAGGGGTTGATTGAGGCTTGGCTCATGAGCAGCCAGCCCAAATAGAGTTTAATCAGTGAGACCCATTAATTTCATTTCATTTCATTTCAAACCTTTATTTAACCAGATTGGTCCCATTGAGATCATAGATCTCTTTTTCAAGGGAGACCTGCAGCATATAGGTTCCACATGAAACATAAAACAATAAAGGACATCATACATTATATTTACAGGATACATTTACATAGTTATCGACATTTACAAGTGCCCATAGTATCAACGAGCATTTCATTTAGCCTAGCTTTAAAAACATGCAGAGGAATGAGATTGCTCAGTTTCAGTTTTTGCTGAAGATTGTTCCAAGCAAGTGGAGCTGCGCACATAAAAGCTGTCTTACCTAAGACAGTCCTTGCTCTTGGCACATCTAACAATACTACATCATGCGATCTCAGACAATAGCTGCTTGCAACTCTCTGTGTTATCAGAGAGCAGATATAATACGGGAGTTTACCCAACAAAGCTTTATAAATAAACGTGTACCAATGACTGAGCCTCCGTACAGTAAGTGATGGCAAACCTGCCTTGGCATACAGGGTACAGTGATGTGTAAGTGCTTTACAATTTGTGACAAATCTCAGTGCGCTGTGATAGGCGGCATCTAACTTGTTCAGGCAATGGGCAGGTGCATTCATATACAACACATCACCATAGTCCAGCACAGGTAAAAAGGTCACAGTGACTAGCCTTTTCCTGGCCTCAAGTGAGAAACAGGACATGTTTCTGAAAAAGAAACCTAGCCTAACCCTCAGCTTTTTAAGCAGGTTATTGACATGAAGTTTAAAAGAGAGACAATCATCAAGCCAGATACCTAGGTATTTATAACAGGCAACCACTTCTAGTACTTGTCCTTGCATAGTAACAATATCTAAAACAGGCTCTGGTGTCTTTTTAGCTTTTGAAAAAAGCATTACCTTGGTTTTATCAACATTTAAAAGAAGCTTAAGTTCAGAGAGCTGAGTCTGAATAATGTTAAAAACAGCCTGTAATTTAACGCCAGCCTCCTTAATGGAGGGACCTGCACAATACATCACGATATCATCCGCAAAAAAATCATCAAACCACGCCTTTCTCTCCCTCAGATCACAAGTGTTACAACAACAGCGGGGCGAACTACAGAGGGACCGTCAGTAAGACCAGGTCCGGGCGTCAGTGTCAGCCGTGGAACTCCCAGTATCCTCACAGCCACACCTACCTGGCCATCCGCTACACCGAGCTCAACGGAGGACACTCGTACTGCCGTAACCCCGGCAACAAACTGGAGGCCCCCTGGTGCTTCACGCTGGACGAAGGGGTCCGCTTGGAGATGTGTGACATAGCCGTCTGTGGTAAGAGACTAGAATATGTTTAAATATGTACTATTGAGATTCTAAATATGAAAAGTGATGTCAGAGACCTTTTATCACATTAAATTGCCCAATCATACAATAGGCCATACATATGATATTAATCCTCACTCTTTGTCTCTTTCTTTTCATCCGTATAGACCATAAAGACAAGTCTAGTGGCGGCAACATGGAGATCTTGTACATCCTGGTTCCCAGTGTGGCGATCCCCTTAGCCATCGCCTTGCTATTCTTCTTTATATGTGTGTGCCGCAACAACCAGAAGTCCCCCACGCCTCCGGCCCCTCGCCAACCCAAACCTGTCCGGGGACAAAACGTAGAGATGTCCATGCTCACAACGGCATACAAACCAAAGGTAGAGCCTTCACGACGCATGAAACTGTTGGTGCTGCAGAGTTTTCCGTCCCCATTTTCTTTATATGCTTTCACCTCTCCTGCAATGTTTTCATAACACTAGGGAAAAAAAACTTCAATTAACAAATGCTTATATTATATGTTTTGCTCTGCACATAATACCAGTGACATCTAAGTCCTCCATCTCTCTGTTGCCTTTCTGTCACTTTTCCTGAATATATCAGAGGTTTAAACTTGAATCTTACCGGCCTCATCTCACTCAAGCATGCCCTACTTATTGAAAAGCACAAGTACATATATATATCCTTTATTTAACCAGGTAAAGAAGTAAAGTACTGCTAAAAATACACTTTTATTTACTCACACAGCATTGTTAGACTCAGTTCTCTTTAGCTGACTCTGTCTCACACACACACACACACACACACACACACCTCTCGCCAGTAACCCCAGCATGTTGGGACGTGTCCCAGTTGACACACACAGGGGCTTTGCCAGTGTTTTGACTCCTTCCTTAGTCTGCTCTCATGACGTGTGTGTGTGTGTGTGTGTGTGTGTGTGTGTGTGTGTGTGTGTGTGTGTGTGTGTGTGTGTGTGTGTGTGTGTGTGTGTGTGTGTGTGTGTGTGTGTGTGTGTGTGTGTGTGTGTGTGTGTGTGTGTGTGTGTGTGTGGTGTTGTGTGTGTGTGTGTGTGTGTGTGTGTGTGTGTGTGTGTGTGTGTGTGTGTGTGTGTGTGTGTGTGTGTGTGTGTGTGGTGTGTGTGTGTGTGTTGTGGGTGTGTGTGTGTGAGGTGTGTGTGTGAGATGGACCTGTCTCAGGCAAAGCTTCAGATCTTTATCATCAGAGCTCAGCAGGTCCAGGAATGTTCAGCTGCAGCTCTTTTCCTCTCTGTTTATTTCTCTCCCGCTGTCTCTTTTTCCACTCCTCACTTCATCCATCTCTCTTTGTTGCTCTATTTCTGTCTCTCCCTCCATCGCTTTACCTTAGGACCTCTCTTTCATCCGTCACCCCCTCTTTCATCCGCTCCCTCAGTCACAAAACCTCTTTGTAATGCAGATCCTCTATCCCCACTCTGCCAGCCAACACGTAGCTCACATTAAGAACTGTATCATATTTCTTTCAAGGTTGCACACTCAGTCATATCACTTATTTATCTTTTTCAACATAATTATGTGGTGGTAGGAGAGAGTGGTTATCTAGACAGCATGTCCGTTTGTGCAATACAGAGTTGATGCTCAAGGTAATGCGTATAATATTACCATCAACAGCTGTAGAAAGAACTGCAAGATATCACAGATGTGTCAGAAGCCATTAATATCTGTGGTTTATTTGTTTTTTTTGCAATGGAACAAATCTTCCACAGCCTTAAAAGAGTCAAGGCTACGAGAGATGAGAGAACGTTTTTCAGGATGACAACCATGCAGTAATGGAATTATACAGTACATTTCAAATGTTCTTCATGGACAACTAGGGCCTGAAATATGGTTCACACATATTAGATCGCATTACCATCCATATAAGGATTTCAAAGGCAGAAGAAAATATTTTAGTGCAGTCCTCACCCTTTTTTCAAGCCTATTTATTTATGTCTAGGTGTCTAATGCCATAACCTTAAAGTCAATTGTATATAGATTGAATGTAATTTCTTCCTTTTTATAAGGAATGGGAAAATCTCTAATTATAAAGTCATTTATTGCCAAGTTGACTGTCTCACTTCCCCCTTTTATCAACAACCTTGTCTTGGGTTAGGCTGCTACCCAGCCAACTTTGCAGCAGGGTCACCCAGGGGCCATTCCCCTGTGACAATCCATTTAGACACACAGTAAACACACACACACACACAAACTTGCGGTGGTGTGAGGAAGATCTGAGGGTTTGGGTGTGGGGAGGAAAGACGGGGTGAAACAAACCCATAACTAAAAACATCTGTGTCTCTCATAACATCAGCAGGCCCCTCTCACTCTTACCCACACACTCACACACGCCACCCCCCCTCAGAGCTCATACAGGCCTGTGCGTCTGTCCTGCTCACAGAGGAATTTCATTATTCATCGTAGAGTTCCTGGATTTTGAAAATCTCTGCCAACTTTGCCTCACACACATACACACACACACAAACATAAAAAAATCCCCCCTATTTCTAAGATCAACTGGACACCTGAACAAAAGACTAAAATGTCCCGCTCTGAAAGAAAGTTACAGATTTATTTTTCTGCAGCTGACTCACAGTTGTACTGGCAAGATACTTAATTGCTTAGCCTTTCTTAAAGCTGCTGAACTGTCAGTTAAATTACATTTTTAACCTGAAATGTGTTGCCAGATTTCACAATCTTCCCACAATGCTTTCCAAAGACTCAAGGGGAGTCATTAGTAGCTGACGTAATGGATTGAGTCTGAAATGACAAATATGAACTCTCTGGGCTATACTTTATTTTTTTACATCTCAAAGACATATTTAATGTTATATTAGGCAGGTTGCCTGCATCGAGTTAGGAGCACAAATGTAAATATCATGTCATCATTTCATCATTTCCTTTTCAAAGGATAATGGTGGGAAAGAGTACAAAGAAAATATTTATCATATTTCTACTGTCACATCTCTTTTCCCACTGTTCTAACTTGTTTCCGACCCCTGTTCTTCTCTCTGCAGAGTAAGGCCAAAGAGCTTCCCTTGTCGGCTGTGCGTTTCATGGAGGAGCTCGGAGAGTGCTCTCTAGGGAAGATCTACAAGGGACACTTGTATCTGCCGGGCATGGACCAGGCCCACCTCGTGGCCATAAAAACCCTGAAGGATGTCTCCAATGTCCAGCTGTGGGCTGACTTCCAGCAGGTACGGAGTAGATCCCACCCCAAGCTTTAAAATGTGTGTAAATGTTTGAGCTTTAAAAATAGCTCAAACATTTACACATGCATATTATTGCGGATGCAATTATCAACCATGTGTGACTTGTATAAGACATCTTAGGCTCAACAGTTAGTCATTTTAAAAGACTTGCTTCTAACTGGCAATTGTGTGTTGATGTGGTACAAAAATAATCTACTGTTTTAAAAATATGTGGGACTACTTTTCCTGTAGAGATATCTCTCATCCCACAAGATTTGAAGCATGACTTGTTATATTTCCACAGAAGGTAAACATGGTGGGCGATGGCCAGACTGTGCTGCTAAAAAAGACTTTTAACGCTTGAAATAGTTGCAAAAATAAACTGTTGGGATGTCTGGATGGATTTAGCTTCTTGGATTGAATTTACACAGATGACTTGTTAAAACATAATTCTCCCTTTCCATCCTCAGAAAGTGAGTAAAACCTGAACTGTTAACATTAAAGTACGACATAAAAAAATCTGTCTTTTGAGTTTGATAGACTCCATCCAACCTCTTAAGGACATCTTTAAGGCCTTAAAAAAAAAAAAAGCTTGAGTGTTAATTTAAGTGTTCATGCTCCCATGAGCATATCAATTCTTTTATTTCATTTGTTTTATACTTCACTAATACTTGTTATGTTTCCACATCAGGAGGTCGCAGTGCTGACGGAGCTGCAGCACCCGAACGTGGTGTGCCTGCTGGGCGTGGTGATCCAGGAGCAGCCTGTCTGTATGCTGTTTGAGTTTTTGCCCCAAGGCGACCTCCACGAGTTCCTCATCATGCGTTCCCCACACTCTGATGTTGGATGCAGCAGCGATGAGGACGGCACTGTGAAGTCCAGCCTGGATCATGGAGACTTCCTGCATATGTCCATACAGGTGTGTATTGACAGTGCTCTTAATTATTTCAGCTACAATCCTATTTCATATACAAGTAAGAGATTGACAGATTGCTGATTTATTGATTTAGCTCTTCAGTTTGTCTTCTCTCTTTGATATCCTGTTCTCTCTTTCCACCTTACTATGTGCGAGACATACAGTATTTTGTCAGCACTCCATTATACACATCTTACTTGTTTTGCATTACCTTTTTATAACTATATTTGATGATCTTGTTTTTATCCTGTTTATTTGTATCTTGTTCTTTTGCTGCTGATCCTTAAAAGTTACCAAACTAATGTTGTATTATGCCAACATAGACAATAAAAGGTCTCTTGCCTATCCTTATCTTATGCTCTTTTATACGCACACTTGTCAAATCATTGTTTTCCTTATTATTATTATTCAAACCTAGGTGGCTGCTGGTATGGAGTACTTGGCCAGCCACTTTTACACCCACAAAGACCTTGCAGCTCGTAACATTCTAGTGGGTGAGCAGCTCCACATCAAGATCTCCGACCTGGGTCTCTCCCGAGGGATCTACTCCTCGGACTACTTCTGTTTGCAGCCCAAAACTCTCCTCCCCATCCGCTGGATGCCCCCCGAGGCCATTACCTACGGCAAATTCAGCACAGACTCGGACATCTGGTCATTCGGAGTGGTTTTGTGGGAGATCTTCAGCTATGGGCTGCAGCCCTATTACGGCTTCTCCAACCAGGAAGTGATGGAGATGGTGAGGAAGAGGCAGCTGCTGCCCTGTCCCGAGGACTGTCCGCCAAGGTATGTTCAGGTTAATACAGTCTATACTGCATCTTCTCCTTGTTCTGAAGTTAGACAAACAATGGGGGATGTTGGGGCAACACATTTTCATTGTGTGTTTCCTTTTAATAGCCCTTTGTTGTGTTTCTAGGCCAAAGGAATGGGTTCTTTGAATTCTTAATTTAAACAACATTGATTCGCAAAAATCAACCATATTCAACTTACTCAAGCAAATCAGTCCTGAAAAATGTATAATTTAACTTTTAATTGACAAACTTATGGTGGGTGGAACCAAAACTTTACATTTAGCTGTACGAGGGTCACCACTGACAGAATACAAAGTAAAACAATGATTCACAACTACTTAATAACTTTACCATTAGCATTTACAAGTTTTGTACAGTTATATTAATAACATAACAAAGTATGCATTCGAAGATTATTATTTTTTAAATAACTTTATGAACTTAAGCTTGCTTTAAATGATTAGTTTTAATTGTTTGTTAACTAACTTTGTTGTCTCTCAGGTTTTATGGCATGATGGCTGAATGCTGGCAGGAGGGACCAGCACGTCGGACGCGCTTCAAAGAAATCCATGCTCGCCTGCGGGCCTGGGAGGGGCATTCTTCCCATGCCAGCTCCAGCACGCCCTCTGGGGGCGGAGGCAACGCCACCACCCAGACCACCTCGCTCAGTGCCAGCCCCGTCAGCAACCTCAGCAACCCCCGCTACGCTGCTGCCGCGGCTGCTGGGTACCTCTACCAGGCCCAGGCTATCCCCTCGCAGGGTCAGATGGCCCCGATGCAAGCCTGGGCGCCAATGGCTGTGACGCAAACCCACCAGCGCTTTATCCCTGTCAATGGATACCCCATCCCACCAGGATACGCCGCTTTTCCAGCCCACTTCGCTCCACCTGTCCCACCAACCCGGGTCATCCAGCACCACCTGCCCCCTCCTAAAAGCCGCTCACCCAGCAGTGCCAGCGGCTCCACCAGCACGGGGCACGTGAGCGGCGTCCCCTCCACCACAGGCTCCAACCATGATGCCAACACACCGCTCCTCTCCCACTGCATCATGCCAGGTAACGGTGGAGGGCAGATTCAGCTGTACGGACAAATTTGCCAGAAAGGAATGGGACAACTAGACCACCCATCACAAATGGCGCTGCTCGTTGATTCTGACACACTGATGTACAACGACTCGGTCATCGTCGCAGACCTGTAGATAAAAAGAGAGGTACACACTCTTTCTGCTCGGGACCCACATTTGAGAAGTTTAGCCTCTCACGCATGGGACCCAGTTCTACCCTTGTCACTTGGAGGTCCAACAGAAACCGGCCTGTAAGCACATTTGACAGTGCAAGAAACACTACCGCAGCTACACAAATATATACACAGCTGTCTGACTTTGTAATGCCTTATTGTTTAAAGCATTTGTACTTACTACCATGGTTTGGGAATGTTGTGTTATTATTTTAACCTCTGTGTAAATATGGTACAAAAGTCCTGAGTGAATGAGTGAAATACAAAGATATATATTCAAAACAAACGTTAACATTAAAATGGAAGCAAGTCGATCCTGCAGCAGAGGAAATGGTTTGAATCACATGTCGACATTTGAGTTAACGGATCGTTTTAATGCAGGATGTGAAGGAAACACTGACATTTTTACCGTGACCATAAGGTGCCTTTCAGCAGGGGTGCAACTTGCTTGTTTCTGGACTTATTTTAATACAAAAATGTGCTTTACATTTGCTTGTATAGTAAAATAAACTGCATTTAGCAAGCGATAATCGAGAGAGAAAATGCAACAGCAGATTGAACAAACAAGAAGGTCAGCAGCTTTTACTAAGAAGACCAGCAAAGACCTGTTTGAATATGTATTGGTGTGCGTATTGAAGTCAGACAGCTAATGGCTATGTGACAGCTCCCCATTGAAGCCGCTGAAATTTAAACTAAAAAGATAAAGGTGATACGTTGGCTAAAAAATTGGTGCAGGCTTTGAGATCTCGCATTTTCTCACAAAATCCCTTTGGAAATGACCCCTGAATGTTATTTGTGCAACAACATGACACTTTGCAACATGGACACAGGCCTCCTCATCAGTCTTTTGTTTCTCCTTCCATTCCTTCATCATGTCCCCCTCCTCCTTTTCCCTCTTGTACCATCATCCACCCTCCCAGAAGAGCAGGCATGGCATCTAACTTCAGAATCTGATCTACAAATGAAACAACAGAATGCTCATATCCTCCACAGTAAAAATGTATTGGTCTCATGGAACAATTTACAGTCAGTGATGTCAAACTGAAATGTCCCCCTGACAAAAGAATATGTATAATAAGTGTAATTTGAGTTACACATTTATTTTTTATGGGAGAGTTTTCCCAGTATTTGAGATTTTTCTTAAAGATTGTATTCACAGGGCTTATCTTCACGTCTTTTACTTTTTCTTTCCTGTATTACCTGCACTTGTTTGGTTGAAAAATAATTTTTCAAGACATGGAGGACGGAATGTACTCGAAGCAGAAACAGTTAAGCACATAAGGCTCCTCGTAGACAATTTTACCATTAAACAAATCTGCCTCATCTACGTGAACAAGAACTCCAATGAACAGTATGTTTGATATGCTCAACACCCACTCTGTGCCTTTGCAGTAGGATGTTAGATTGAAATAAGAATCATTTTCCTGAGCTGGGGACCGACTGTATCACTGGGTGCAGAGAGATTTATGTACAGTTTTTCTTATATTTGGTTCCTTAAGAGAAAATGGTCAGTATGCTAATATTGTTATTTCTAAATGTCTGGCAGCAATTGTGCTGACATGTAAGCAATCCCGACAAGTGAAGCTTCTAATGGTAAAATATCTCAATTAATATGACCTTAATGTTTTGTTCGGAGTCTGTGAAATCACAGCTGTTATTTTATTTTTATTTCAACATGTCCAGTAGCAGGTCATTTTATACGGTTTTGGACACAATTGGCCAAATACTAAAACGTTTTGGTCAATGATGAATCATTTTCAGTCCTGTAATCACACATATAATGCCGAAGCTGTCTATTAATGTTTAATTATGGTAGAAGCACAGCTTAATATGAAGCTTTTGTTATTCAAATAACAACATATAGATAAGAGAAACAGCTGAAGTTTGCAAAGTTTGGTATCTTAGTTACCCAGTGCCTTCTGGTTAGTAGACAATCATTGGTTTTGAAAGTTGTAAAAGTGTCCCAGACTGTACGTGTTGCACTTCTTATCACTCTTAGAATCCGCTGTATTCACTAACCATACACACTTTAGTCGGGCACAAGGGTATGCTGATAGCATTTCACTGTGTATCTGCAGAGCATGAAGCGATGTGAAAACAGCATGCTGCCTGTAGTGCACTTTTTTAAATTGTCATTTGTGGAATGTAGATAGACAACACTTTATCTGTTCAGTTTTTACTGTATGTACCCTTATAAACTTTAACCCTTCTAATCATACCAGATATCCTTACAAGAAAAGTAGCTGCCCTAATTCACTGCAGACTAAAATGACTATGAATCAGATTTAGATTAGACTGAGCTTTTGTTTTCCCCCTAGATCATTTATTCAACCATGGTCAAAAAAAGCAGCTTGTCTGTTAAAAGCTAAATGAAGGGAGAAGATTGTGTTTGTTTTATTATCCTGTCAAATTTAGTCCAAGTTAGTTTGACTCATATTAAGTTAATGTTCCCATTATTTCATTGCTGTCTTATGTCTATTTTTCTTTTTGTTCCTTTGAAGCAGATCAAACTACCTTGGGCATCTGAGTTTGTACACATGACATCTAGCATGTAACGGACTTACGTGTATGAATATAGCAGTGCAAAAACCACTTGTACACAAGACTGTGAATCTAAATCAAGTCTGGTTATTTTTGTATTTGGCCAAAATCGTTATTGTGCCTTTTTTAATACTATATATCCATAAGAGAAAAATACAATTACATTTATATTTCAATGACAATGTACCCGTTTCAGAAGGTTTACATGCTTATCCTTTTGACCATGAGGCCTTTACTTTGTATTTTGTCTGAACATTTTTGCACAGATGTTTTGTATTGCAAAATCATTTATTAAATGATGTTGTTTGGTTAAACTTTGAGTACATTTGTTTGAATAATCAATAGGTCTTTATAACTAATTTGTTGGGTTTTGTGATTTTTCAAATGAGCTTTGGCTTGGTGATCAGGGTTGTAATTGCAGTATGAATCCACTAGGTCTCACCAAATTACCATTTCTGTGGATGTTCAGCCTTTAATTGTAGTGACCATTGTTGACCAGGTGGTGGTGCCCTTTATCTGTTTGATTTGTGTAGGTTTGAGCGTAAAAAAAGCTGGAAATAATATAAATCCAGCTAGAATTTGGCAAAAAATGACTCTAGTGTATGCTTACTTGAGTGTGTGTTTTTTCCTCTAGATTCCTGCTCAAACTTTCATTTTGCACAAAAAAGCTTAGTGAGTAAGTGAGTGTGGCTGTGAGTATGAACTGTACTCTATATACACTCTATATGCATGTAAAAAAAAAGTTTTATTTCGTACATATATAGAGATCATTATTTGTGCACACGGCCCTCTGGTTTAAGATGTGTGTGAACATATAAAAGCAGACAAGTGTTCTTAATCACCAACACACCATGTTAAACATCCTTTTATTATATGCATTGTTAAAGGGATTTTTTCGGTGCTATACCTAAATTACATAGAAGATTAATCGGAGATTAAAATAGTTTCTGGAAAAAGATACTACTTAGCTTCTAGTGATTTTCTTAATATCAATTTTCTTCAGAAAATACATTTATGGGCACATAAAATCAAACAAGTTTATTTAAATTCACATGAGGGGCGTGACATACTTATGTTTTGTTTGTAATGTGCGTAATATATCCAAGATAATATGAAGGTGAGCCTTTCATTCTCTCTCACCATCTTAATTGTAAAGTGTGTTTACAAGTGGAGTAAAGGTCCTAATTGTCATTTTTCACCACTTCTGAATTCAGGTAAACAGACTACTCTCACACTGTATGATAGGTGTAATGGGGACGGGTGTGTCCTGTCCTGATGCTAAAATAGGGGGATTACTTCCTGTGACCAGAGTGTGTAACTGAGGACGACCACTCCCATGACAGCAGAGCCCTAAGGGCGCTCTCTGCTTAAGCTTCTTGAGTTCAGGGTGTGATAGGCTTTGAAAGCAAAACAGCGACCGAAGAAGATAATGAGTGTGCATTTGGCTTTAAGAAAAAGGGATGGATGCATAAATGGAGGAAGGAGAAGTATACAGCTTAAGTGCATTGAAAGACCAAAAGGCACTAGTGACTTAAAGGTACAGCATACAGCAGAGGGACATATAAAGCCCCTTTAAAATATCTTAAAAGTGTACTTATGTGGAAAACTGGATGATGTAGCACTCCTGGTTGTGAAAGCTGAAGGCATATGAAGACTGAGAGGAAGCGATACAGATATATGTTGAGGAAGGGAGAGACAGGGAGAAGGATTCAGTTTCACCGTCCTCTCGCTCTGCCATGGCAGCACTGGAAACCTCCAACAAACGCCTGATTGTTGGGGAACATGAGCTGTTTTTGTTGAAGGACTGACAGGCGCTTGACCTCTGCTGTCCGTGCTGCCACACACTGACCTTGGAGAGAGGAAGTCGAGAGAAGCCTTTGAACGATGTCAAGTGAACTACAGTGCCTTGTTTAATTTCACCCGGGGGGCTAGACACAGCTGAGACAGGTCATCAGGAGTTTATAGTCATCCTCATGGTTCATGCTAATTGTTTTCTTCAGAAAACAAAGTTAAAGTTTATTTTCCTGGTGAATGTAAATTATTGTTTTGTATAAATTAGCTTGTAGAATGTTATCTAAAAAATATAAATTGTCATTTGGTGGTCAACTTTTTAAATCTTACTTTGAAAACGTTTGTGTTCTCAAACACTGCTTTAAAGAATACAAGTTATAATATAGAAATAGTTTTCACCAAGATCTTCAATTCTCAAAGGCTGACACAAATTTGGAATTTTTGAGATCATACATTTGAATGTTTTTTTAACCAGACTAAGAGTCTGGAGCCATGCCCCCAACTCTGTTTGGCCAACATCCTGGTTTGTATCAGCTAAATGTATGCCATATTCACCTTCTTAATGAAGAGTGTTAGCATGCTATCATTTGCTTTAATTAGCATTAAACAAAAAGAGCCTACCACTGAAGCTTTGGTATTTTGTAATAAGCCCAAGTATTGGTTTGATGATGACGCTAAAGGAAAAGTCAGGGTATTCATCCTCTCAGAACCATGAATGTCTGAACAAAATGTAATGGCCATCCGTCTAATACTTGTTGAGATATTTCTGTCTGAGAGAGACACTGACATTGCTGCTTGTGTTTCTAAAACATACAACTGCAGACTGCAGACATCATCTGCTAAAGTGCTAA